GCGGAAAAACTGATCGGGACTCGGTCGAACGAGCTCTTCGGGGACGCGTAGCCGTGTGCCACGACCGGAGGAGATCGTCGTCGTTGTGTAGCTGGGTTCGGTTTAACCCGACAACACCGGGGGAGGACGTCCGGCCGGGTACCAAGTCAGCTGCGGACCTACGGAGACGAAGAGATGTCCTCGGTGCCCGACGATGCCGCAGCAGGGCACAACGTTGCTGAAGCTTAGTGCGTGCATGGTGTACGCGCAGGGACACGCTGCAGGTCCTCGAAGGCTGTCACGTGCCCCTGGTAGAGCGGAAACGATGCGATTCGCGTGGCCCAGCCACGTACGTCTAGGTGGACCCTGAACATCCCGGTCCGGTTGATCGTTCTCCTTCGGAGGGATATCATTTCGAGTGCCTGCGGTCATTTCTCGGCTGATACCTGCTGCTCGACGTGTTCGCGGCCACGTGCGAGGACAACCGAACAGTGAAGAGGTGGAGGAGGCGGAGAAGAAGCCGGTGGTGGTGGAGGTGGTGGTGATCGAGGAAGGAGCGAGTTGCTCCGATTCCTCAATCGTGCAAACATGAGACGTTGGACTCTCATGGCGGCTATAGCCCTGGCTGCATCCGGTGAGTCCGGCTCTTCGTTTCTTTCTTTATACGGATGCTTAGCGCGAGTTTCGACCTCGTCGACCACGTCTTCGCACACGTGGATGGTTGTTTTCCTTTTCTTTTCTAGTACGCGTTTTAACCGTTTCCTCTCTTATTGACTCTGTCTGCCTTTGCGGAGATGTGCTGTTTGAACCGTCGTGGTTTTTGTTTCCTCTTTTTTGTTTCTACAGTGTGACAGTAATGTGACGCGAACGCACGAGACGGGGCTCTGTGTAGTAGGTCGAGCCGTAGGGATTTGCATACGAGAACGGTTTTGTTCGGCATCGAGGACAACCTTTAACGCTTTAAGTCGCGACAATACCGAGAGCACCGGGACCGATGAATCTTCCCTCTTGAATAATGATGTCTGCCAAGGTGATCTTAAACGTCCAACTGTTACGCGCGATAGTGGACAGATCGAAATTCAGGATTTATATCTATCAATGTTGATAGCCTCTTTTCAAATATATCTTTAGGTCAATGGAACTCGAGCATTTGTTTATATGTCTTACGCTAGAAAAGTTCAATTATATGAGAAAGCTCAGTTTTCATAGAATTATAAAACTTTCATTTCATCAGTAAATTAATCTCATAAGTTTTTTAGAATATTTTAATTTGTTTATATGTTTGATACAGAAATGTTCAATTAAATCGTTATTAATGAATTAATATCGTTATCAGTTTTTTAAAATATTGTTATTTGTTTACGTTTTTAGTAGACGGTATGAAATTGTCCAAATATTCATATATTTATATTGAAAACGTTAAAAAGAACAAGTTTGTTTCCTCAACTGTTTGTTTTGACAAGTCCTAAAACAGCTATGAATTTAGAGCCCAAAATACATATAGAATTAACTAACAAACAATAAAAAAAAACAGGCTGACTCTAACATTCTGAATGTCAGTATGTGACAAAATTATGTATGAAACTAAAATAATCGTAACTATCCTAAATACCTGAAAATCAAGTAATAAATAAAAGCTATAAATCTCAATTTGAGTAGTAACGAAATAGTAAATAATTAAAGATGGCGTACCTCGAGGCAAGTTCAAAGTTCGTTTACCTAGGCAGGTGTTGAAGACCCGCGCTGATTTTCGCACCAAAGTGTATCCTCGTTGTATAAACGTATTCGAAATTGACGTAATCAGCGACGTTTTCTGCGTGACGTGCTCGCAGCGTCTCGTTAACACGCTGATTTTTGCTCACAGACTGAACGTACACACTCGTCACGAAATCACCGCAGTCTAAATATTTGCACACTCATCTGACGGGGTATTTTTGTTAAATTTCGTCGCGACACGCTTCAAGCGAGTTTTCTTTTCCCGCGGTAACCTGTTTGGTAAACCCCGCCGGAAGTACTTGTCAACAAAACATAGAACGCGATCATTCTTAGACTTCTCGGAACAATGCGCTTTCGGTACTAAGATTTTAATCTTACTTCACATTTCATATATATACCAGAATCAAACTTTGAAATTTAATTTTGTTGTGAAATTTATTGTGGTGTATTGTTACATTCGTTGGGGGGAAGAAACATCTTAAAGTAGAGGTATTTTTAGACTCATAATCTTCTGGGGTCATAAGGACCCTGAGAATGAGGAGAATAGATGCCTGATAATAACAAAATATGTATTTTATGAATTATCTTGCAGGAATAGGTTAGAAATATGTAGGTTTGGTTCATATGTTGCTTGTCCAAAAATTACACATGTTCAAGCCACCATATGAACATTGTATATTACTCCTGCTACATGCATGAATGACCACTAAAATGATGAATTATCTTACAAAAATTGGCTACAAATATATATGCTAGGTTCATATGTTGCTTGTCCAAAAATTACATATGTTCAAGCCACCATATGAACATTGTATATTACTCTTGCTACATGCATGAATGACCACTAAAATGATGAATTATCTTACAAGAATTGGCTACAAATGTATATGTTAGGTTCATATGTTGCTTGTTCAAAAATTACATATGTTCAAGCCACCATATGAACATTATTTATTACTCCTGCTACATGTATGAATAACACTAAAATTATCAATCATCTTATGAATTATCTTACAAGCATTGGCTACAAATATATATGTTAGGTTCATATGTTGCTTGTCCAAAAATTACATATGTTCAAGCCACCATATGAACATTGTATATTACTCCTGCTACATGTATGAATGACCACTAAAATGATGAATTATCTTATGAATTATCTTACAAGAATTGGTTACAAATGTATATGTTAGGTTCATATGTTGCTTGTCCAAAAATTACATATGTTCAAACCACCGTATGAACATATATTACTCTTGCTACATGTATGAATAACACTAAAATTAATTAAGAAGATAAGTAAATAAAACTCCTCCAGGAAAATTGCAAGTAAAAAGAAAGTAAAAGAGGTTTCAACAACATCTTACACCCTACTTGAAGTCAGCTCAAAGGACATCAAAAGACTTGACTCGTTACTCGAATTCGAGTAATTTGACTAATTTGAACGAGGCTTACGGGTGTACGGAGTTGAAAAGGTTAATTGACACGATGTCGAAGACCGTGACCGTTAGGGATCTGTTTATTCTGTTTCGCGTAACATGTTTGATTAATTGAGACATCGTCGCCTTGATCTTCGACCTCTGTTACATACAAATACAACAATCGACGACAAACGTGGGCGTGAGAAAAGGTTCCCGAGAAATCGACGTTCACCCACGCGATTTTGTGTAGACCTGTATTCTACGAAACGAAGGAAAAAGTTAGGTTAGGTGAAATGTTGCGTGTGAACGTTGACATCGGTGGATTTGAAAAATCGAAACTCAATTTCGAGGAATAATTGAGGAAACTCTTTTTGTTATGGAGGCTTTTGTGTTGTAGTCTTTCAAATCAGTTTTGTATGTTTTATGTAAGGGTTCTGTTGTGGTAGGGTGGTTCTTTGAACGCTGCAAATGGGGCGTGTGATTTAATATATCATTCGGAGTTTGATTTCTGAATTTTTGAATTTTGCATTTCCTGGTTATGGTATTGTTTATGAATTATAAACTATTTTTGGTTTTGAACAGTTGTGTCTGAAGTAGGAAATTATTGAATAATTGATGTTCTAAATTTTTCATTTAACGAACTTTAAAATTTCTCAAGTTTTATACTATTGAGTTTATGAATTTTCAAATGTTTAAGTGGCTGAACTTCTAAAGTTTGAAATATCTAAATGATCTTAATTTTCAACCCCCACAACTTTGAAATTAAATTTCTAAATACCTAAATTGTTAAGTTTCTAAATTTCCAAATTGCTCAATTATCAAATACTTATGCTACCATGTTTCCAGATTTCCAAGTTTCTAAATGATTAAATTTATAAACTTTAATTTGCAAATGACCAAATTTCTCAATTATCAAATACCTAAATGACCGAATTTTCAACCCTCAAAATTCTAAACGATGAAGTTCCTAAATTTCCAAATTTCTAAATGATTAAATTTCTAAATTGTCCCATTTCCAAATGATCAAATTTCTCAATTATCAAATTATTTAGGATCGAATTTCCAACCCGCAAAATTTTAAATGATGAAATTCCTAAATTTCCAAATTTCTAAGTGATTAAATTTCTAAACTCCCCAATTTCTAAATGACCGAATTTCTCAATTCTCAAATACCTAAATAATCGAATTTCCAACCCCCAAATTTGCAAATGACCAAATTTCCAAATTTCCAAACATTGAAACCACCACTCCTTAAATTTCCAAATACTTAAATCAAATCTCCAAATTAAAAAATTTGAAAATAACCCAATTTTAAAACACTCCATTTCCAAATAATTAAACTTGAAAATTTCCAAATTTGCAATTAACCATACCCTCAAATTTATAAATTAAAAAATGTACGAATTAATAAATTTTGTTTTGGGTATAGATTTACCAATACATTGATTAATTTCGATATCTGCGTACATCTATGAATTTCCTAACAAGATTTCAAGCACATATGTACAATATACAATGCACATACAGTTTGTACACATGTGTACACGCATGAGACATCCACTGCGTGTGAAACATGAGCTGACCAACAGAATGCTAAGCATACCAATTTCAGGCTATGCTGAATCATCACATGAAAATGATTATCATTAACAAAGAATACAGAGATTATTCAACTACGTTTCTCTAATAACGAAACATAATAACAAAATCATTCTTTTGTATGATTGAAAAGAAGCAGAAGACAAAATTTATCGATGAGGTACTTATAAGTTTGGGAATGTTATATTGTAAACTTGTATGATATTAATTTTGGGAATTTCAAGGTGATGAATTGAGAAGTATAAAATTATTAAATTTGGGACTTTTAATGTGGTAAATGAAGAAGTATAAAATTATTAATTTTGAGAATTTCAATGTGATATACGAAGTAGTATAACAGTACAAATTTTGAGACCTTCAATGTCATAAATGAAGAAGTATAAAATTATAAATTTTGAGAATTTCAAGGTAATAAATAAAGTAGTATAACGTTACAAATTTTTAGACCTTCAATGTCATAAATGAAGTAGTATAAAATTATAAATTTTGAGAATTTCAATGTAATAAATAAAGTAGTATAACGTTACAGATTTTTAGACCTTCAATGTCATAAATGAAGAAGTGTAAGATTATAAATTTTGAGAATTTCAGTATGATAAATAAAGTACTATAACAGTATATATTTTGAGATCTTCAATGTCTTAACTGAAGAAGTATAAAATTATAAATTTTGAGAATTACAACGTGAAAAATAAGAAAGTCAGATAATTTGAAATTAAAAGTATAAATAATACAAATTTGCAAAATGTAGTATTAATACTTGCAGTGAAATTGTAGTAAAGTAGTAGTAAAGTAAAGTGGTAGTAAAATAAAATTGTAGTAAGTAAAATTGTTGTGTAGTAAAATTGTAATGCAGTAAAATTATATGAACCAAAAATATTATACTATTTTTAGCAAT